TAGAAAGCAGGAAAGTATGTTAGCTGAAAAATGACTGGAGATGAGGATCAATTTCACTAGGAAAAGGTTTAATGTGCTTTGTGCCCATACTCAGAAATCAGAGTGTTATGCAATTTCAGTGGGTATCATTTACATCATATAGTGTGGTGCCTGAAGAATTGTCACTAACATAAAATACAGTGGGAATGGGCTACCAGAAGTTTTACAGCCTCATGCTCACACTACGCCCTAATGTCAGGGCAAACAAAATGCATGAATCAACTGGTACCTTGATGTGGATTGGGCATGGGGACCAGAGATCTCAGCTTTAGTCACTGTGAATTTCTCTGTTGCAAGGTGCTGCCTAAGAAAATAAGATTCCTTGATGCAGCCCGCAGGATTAACACTGAGAATTGTGACTTGTTCTTCAGTCTCAATGAAAAAGCCTGGTCTATGAGAAGGAATACTTCTCTTGAATCCTTTCTTCTACAACCTCCATTGTCCCTGGATCACAGTGTAAATTAGGCTCTTTGTCCTTGGTCATTATGGAAGCCAAGTGGCAAGTTCAGAGACTTGTGGAGGCTGCCTCCTAATCTCTCCTCAGAGACTTGGGGCCTATTTATTTCTTTATTTGGGGGGGTAGTGGTTGTTCATATAAAAAACTGATTATTATGCAAATTTAGCTGTACTTCACTGTGGAAAGGAGGTTGGGCTGACAATGACTAGAGGGTAATTTTTCTCTGTAGGAATTCTTGCCCAGTTTTAGGCAACCTTCTTTTAAGGCAAGATATTTTACCAAGCTATTGATTGATGTTTCTACTCCCTGCCAGAGGGGACTCAGAAGGGATTAAATAATAATAAAACTTTGGGCTTCTAGTCTGAGGGGTTATTAATGGTCTTCATGTTTCCTGACCCCAATAGAAGTTGTGAGGTACCTGTTGTACAGTCCTGTCCAAATTCTCACATGAGAGGAAAATTTGGCTGGGCATTCTGAGGAGAAAGAAGATAGTGGTTCATGCAGGTGCTTGGTTGAAATAAGTAGAATTGCCTAAAGGTAACAGTAGCTCCAATGACTTGAGAATAGGCATGTAAAGATGAGTTCCTTAAGTGGGATGGGTTCCATGTGAAAGACCCATAGAAGACAGTACAGTTTTTTAAGGGATGAAATGTTGTTTGCTGAGATGACTAAACCTCAAGCTTCATATTTGATATAACAATACACAGTTAGCATAGAGGTTGTGTAGCCATTGAACATTTAATGAGCCAAATGGCCTTTGACATTGAACATCCTAGTGGCAATCATGATGGACTCGATAGTCTCCACTCTTCAAAACTCAAGACTATTATGTCTATGAAAATGTGTGGGAGTTAGGCTGGTCTCAAGCAGGAGGGTTCATACTGGAGCTCAATGGATGCCATCGGGATTCACTTTCTATCCATTTCTTGGCTCTATATTCTGGACTGGCTTCATCGGGAAATTTTCTGTCTGGTAACATCCGCCAAGTTTCAGGTACAGC